TGTAGATGAGGTAAGAAGGAGTAAGAGGGCTAGGACTGCAAAGTCCTTTGGTCTGGATTTTTTTACTTATATGTTAGAGAGAGAACCTCGAACTTTCCATGAAACTGTGACTTCACCAGAAGTCCTTTGTGGAAAGAAGCAATTAAGAGTAAGATTGACTCCATCTTGCAGAATCATACTTGGGAGTTGGTTGATCTACCCCCAGGCAGTAAGGCCTTGAGGAGTAAGTGGATCTTTAAAAGAAAGATTAAAGCTGATGGGTCAATTGATAAGTATAAAGCTAGACTCGTTATCAAAGGATACAGGCAAAGAGAAGGCATGGATTACTTTGATACGTATTCACCTGTGACAAGGATTACATCCATTCGCATGGTGATTGCGATAGCAACGCTAAATGGTCTGGAGATACATCAGATGGATGTAAAGACAGCTTTCTTAAATGGGGATTTGAATGAAGAAATCTACATGGAGTAACCTGAAGGGTTTTCAGCTCCAGGACAAAGCAAGAAAGTCTGTAAACTTATCAAATCTTTGTATGGTTTGAACCAAGCGCCTAAACAATGGCATGAGAAGTTTGACAATGTAATGTTGTCAAATGGGTTTAGAATCAACGAATGTGACAAGTGTATTTATGTCAAAGACACTGACAGAGGTTATGTCATTTTGTGTCTATATGTTGATGATATGCTCATTATAGGTAGTATCGATGAAATGATCAAAACTACCGAGAAGTTGTTAAACACTAAGTTTGATATGAAGGATATAGGCATTGCAGATGTTATTCTGGGAATTAAGATTACCAGAATATCTGGCGGAATTGTACTTTCTCAGTCTCATTATGATGATAAGATACTTGAGAAGTTTAGTGGATCAGATACGAGTGTGTCATCGACACCTGTAGACTTAAGTCTATATTTTACTAAGAATAATAATGAAAGTATCTCACAGTTAGAATATTCTCGAGTAATTAGAAGTTTAATGTATCTGATGAGTTGTACTAGGCCGAATATAGGTTACTCGATTAGCAGGCTTAATAGATACACAAGTAATCCCGATGCTTCTCATTGGAAGGGCATTGTGCGGGTGTTAAGGTATTTACGCTATACTCGAGATTATGGGCTGCATTGTACTCGATATCCAGCGGTGCTAGAAGGCTATAGTGACGCATATTGGATATCAGATATAAAGGATTCAAAGCCCACTAGTGGATATGTGTTCACTCTTGGTGGGGCAGCCGTGTCTTGGAAATCTTCCAAGCAAACGTGTATATCTAGATCAACGATGGAATCAGAGTTTATTGCTTTGGATAAAGCAATGGAAGAAGCTGAATGGCTTTGCCATTTCCTTGAAGATATTCCAAGTTGGTCCAAACCTGTGCCTGCTATTTGTATTCATTGTGATAGTCAATCTGTAATTGGTAGGGCACAGAGTAATATGTATAATGGAAAGTCTAGACATATCCGTCGTAGACATAATTCCATATGACAACTACTCTCGAATGGAGTTGTCTCTATAGACTATGTAAAGTCTAAAGACAAAATTGCGGATCCGCTAACCAAAGGGTTAAATCGAGTGTTAGTCAAAACGTCGTCAAAAGGAATAGGGTTAAGGCCTTTGGAAGTTATTGGAATGGAAACCCAACCTAGTAGACTGGAGATCCCAAGATCTAGGTTCAATGGGACAACCTAATTGCGTGTAACGGTGGTATGTCACTGAGGAGGTTAAACCTCCAGCCATTCCTTCTATCAGTGATACCTGCAAGTGTAGAGGTTAAGCTAAGCTTTTAATGACTCTAGTGTGTTAAGCTGTTGAGCTGAGTATAGTAGGATACTCAAGTAGAGTCACATATGTGAGTTTGAAGTGGGGCCGCTTCTAGAAGAATTGGGTAGGCCAAGATTCTTTGAAACCACTCGCTGAACCAGGCTAGTGCCCAGGGCTACATAGGGCACACCAGTGAGAACAGAATGGTGGTAGGAGTAATTCCCGTGTGAGATCTATTGTCTCAGTTTACATAAACAGCAGAGCAGTTCAAGATGTCTTATTCACTGATCAGCCAGTAAACTCGATAGGTTTTCACTGGGAGAGGTTCAAAGCCAAAAGCTAACTTCTCTGATGTCGGGATTAGTCCGTTGAACTCTCTTCGAGTCATTATTGTTGATCGATATCCGTTTGTTGAGTCTTTCGGTCAATTTTTATTCATGTGGGGGATTGTTGGAAAAAATAGTTTTTTGGTAACTTTAATTAAATATTAAAGTGGGTCTCAACCATCTATTGTGTTGGGTCCAAGTAGGTCTAGATACTTTGCAATGAGATCTTTACACCACAAATAGGATTGCAAAAAACCATTGAGATTTGAATGAGAAATTGCCTCATGAAGTTAGCTTCATGAAAGAAGTAATGGGGTTTGTAATTTCTGCCTTTATTACAGAGTTTAATAGAGCATTAATGGGGTTTGTAACTCCTGCATTAATGGGGTTTGTAACTCCTGCCTTTATTGCAGAGGTTAATGGTGTATTAATGACCAGCCATAAAGGCTAGAGGCTTCTCCTCTCTCCCTTATGCATGTATAAATTGAGACCCTCTTGTCAAATCTCAAACACAAAAATTGTTTCTTCCATTCTTTAGTCAGTTTGCCAAAAAATTCCTACTGTGAGAGAGTGCTGCCATTGTTTTTTTTCGCTAAGGTAGACAGAAAGTGCTTCTGCCGTAGCTGGTTTTTGACTGTCGTATCCTGGGAGACAGACGCCGGGATTCCTCAAGCACTCGACCCGTGAGGCGGCGAAATCTGTTTTAAGGAAATTCCTTCCGTGCAGGCTTCGGTTTCGTCTCTTTACTCTTTTATTGTTTTGTGTATTTCTGTTAAAATTTAATTATAATTATCAGCATATATTTTTTATATATAATTTAATTTCTTCATAAATTTATTTATTTAATTTTACGATTTTAACAACAAGTGTCACACCTCTCAGTTATATCCTTCTTTCAAATGTCACGTGTTTTTTTTTTTTTTTTTTTTCTTTGAAGTACGAAAGTTTTGAGATTTGTTCAAATGTCGTGTTAAAGACATTAAAGTAGAGCGTAATAGCTTGGGTTGGTAGAACATTGTTGGGCAGTCATTATTGTTGCTTTGAAACTGCTAACCGCTACGTCTCTGTCTCATAAATCCTCTTTTGTAGTAGTACAATGTAGGGGACACAAAATGGATCAACCACATCTTTAACAATTAGGATTCATTTGGAAATTATTTTTAAAAATAAAAAATAAAAAAATAATGAAAATAAATTTAACTTTTTGACTAAAAACTCAGCTTCCCAAACATAGCCTCATACTATGTAAATTTATTATATGTTTTCAAAGTATTATATGATATTATTTACATAATATTTTTGACAAATAAAAAATTACAAAACATATTAAATGAGTCATTCTTTATCTCCTATTTATCTAATAAAAGTGAGTTAATATGTCATACTTGCAAAAAATTTTACTACATAATTAGTTTGAAACACCACATAAATAATGCCATATCCATCTAAAAAAGTCACATTTTTTTTGAATTTTTTTATTCTTAACAATTTTTTTTTTAAATGTGTTAAAAAAAATTACCTTTTCAATTTATCTAGTATAGAAAAATTTTAAAAAGAAAATATATATATATATATATATATATTCAAAAAATGTTCACTAAATACAAAAATACATATATCAAAAAATCTCAAAAGTCAACTTTTTTTTTTTTGTCTTTCTAAAAAAAATTTCTAACTTATTTTTTTAATTTTTTTTTATTTGTTGATCTAGTTGAGTAGATTCTAAAATTCTAAAGTTTTTTGAATTGTTTTTTATAAAAAAAAGTTCAAAAAAATTACTTAAAGAACCAATCCTAAACCACACCTTAATGTTTCGCAAATTATTACTATCATCAAGTTCACTTTGTGACTGAAGGTTTGGCTTTACGGGCCCAATAATTCCTGCTTCGTTTTTGGGCCTAGTCTCACAGTAGATGGGCCTATAAATGGTTAGCTCAATGTAATATTGTTGGGCCTGATTCTTTTAAAAAGTTGGGTTTGTCCAATTAGAAGCACAGAAGTGTGAGCACAACTTTTTCTAAGTCCACCCACCATTTTGAACAAAAGTACATAATTTAAATTAAAAGTCTTGTGTTGGTGACAAAACTACATGGTTCAATTCACTCACTATCTTTTTTTCTTTCTTTTTTTCTTTTTTTTTAATCTAATACGGGTGAGTGAATATTGTCTACCTATAAGATTTTTCTTAGAAACAACATGTGGACAATGCAATGCCATACTTCAGGATTGCTTAGGTTTTTAGATTTTTTTTAGATTTTATAATGTGAAAAAAAAAAATTTAATGTGTCTGAAAATGATTTTTTTAGTTATATCGAAAATTATGAATTACATCTTTGACTTTTTTTTAGTAATTTTTTTTAACATGTTAATGACTTTTTGACTTTTTTTTTATTATAAATATTTTAACAAAAAAAACAAGTTAAAAGTATTGTTGTATGAGGAAAATAAGATGCCAATTCCAAGGATAAATAAAGATATTCACAAACAAAATTCTAAACACAAGATTACTCTCTCTTAGGTAGATTTTTGTGGGGGTGATTATTCAGTATTTTCGGATTATGGGCACGTGGTACTCCACAAGGTTTTGATTGGTAAAGAGGAAGAGAGGCCCATGATTTATGTTGAAAATGGAGAAACAACATGGGGCTAAGTAATTGATGATTGGCTTGAAATATGGGCATGTGGTGTTTCAGAATTATTGAATAATTTTCCATTTTTGTGTTGCTTCTAGCATCATTTTTCCAGGTCTTTGGAACTAGACTTATGTGCCCAGATTTGTGTCTAGAAATTGAGTGTATGGTAGAGATTAAATGAGTGTATTGTGAGTTTGTGTAAAATAAATCCAGGCCATATAAATATTTCTTAATAAAATTTCTGAGTATTTTTTTTTTTTAAATTTTAGCACACAAAATATTCATGTATATTGTCAAGATCATATATATTTCTATACAAGTAATATACATAAAGATCAATATTTATAACTTTCAAGTGAGCTCTTGCTCACTAAACTTTTGATAATTTCCTAGCAAAATCAAGCTCATACAACCCCCAAACCAATCCCACCGATCCCACCACCACCGGCACAGGCCCAAACAACCACAACAGCAAAGAAAAGGTTATGCAAAGCACTCTGTTTCCAACAACAGCCAACACAAACCCTCTCTCCACCATCCTCTCAGTGTATCCCTGAGACGAAAACCGATCGCCCGACTCATTGTTTATCAAAAAGCTCGAATCGACCAAGCACCCGAGAGCTATGGAGCTGCAGAGAAAACTTACAGAAGAAAACACTGAGGCCGAGCCGTACTTCACTGCTAGGATCTTGCTGGACTGTGACCCGAAAATGGAGTTGGTGAAGAGGTGGGTGGCGGTGTAGGTACTGTTGGTTAGGGCTGCTAGTGAGAGAGTTAGGAGAATGGAGACTGTGGATGTGAGGATGGTGGCCATTAATGTGTTTCTCAAGCTTTGGACTGCTAGCATGCCCATCTTATCATCACCCTGAAAGCACAGTATGAGGAGATGAATTGGTATTAGTTCTGATATAACTGTATCAGAAGTATTAATAGGTTAAGTTTTTTGATGAGTTAGAAGTTAATAATTTATTATGGTATCAAAGTAGATCATGTGTTTGCACCTTACTGTCTACTCGATAAGTATATTACTTGGACAAACGAGCTTGGCATATTTTTTAAAGATAGTTTGACTACTTGCAGGAGTGTGTTGAGAATTTAGATGATATAGTAAGTGATTAACAATTTAACAAAATTATATGTATTAAGAATCAGGTGACGCGATCGTGAATTTTTAAAAACTATGATTAGTTACAAAAAAGAGTTTTGTAGTCTCTGAATCAATTGTATTTGCTATGAATTAATCATAACGATGTAAATTAAGTTGTTAATCGCCTATGAAACAATACGTGTCGCGAACAAATCAATAAATAAGTAATTTTATTGCTACTAGTATGTATTAATATTTAAAACTATGTTATGCTATATATGTGTCAATATTTAAAACCATAATATATGTATATATTTATGTGTGTGTGTGTGTGAAAATGAATGTGAAGAGATTGGGGGAAGGGCTTGCCTGTTGCATGCCTCGCAACCATTCTCTTCTCCTTTGTGCGAGCATTCCAAAGGTGGTTAGAAAGGGCTTGTTCTTGAAGTTGTGCCATAGGAGGGCATGGTATCCTATTGTAAGGAAGAGGCTCAAAGGAACCAATATGGTGTCCAGATAAAGAATCGCCCCCATCTTTCAGTCTCAGACATCCAAGGGTTTAATGGTTTTGTAGACCAAACAAAATGACTATATATATATAAAGAAATTATTAGATACTCTCGAAATATAAAAATTTTATGAAGCATAAAAATATAATTTGAAATTCAATAATGTTATGTTTGGTTTGAGGATTTGAAGAGGGATTTGGAAAAGAAAATAGAGAAAGTAGATGAAATGTGAATAAAATATACTTAAATTTCACATAGTTTCACATACTTTTTCCCTTTCCATTTCCTAATTCCTAATTCCTCTCCAAATCCTCTAACAAACACAGCATAAGTGAACTTATGGTATAGATTTAAAGTTGGTAAGATATGAGTCGTATTCACAATGAATGTAATTCATTGATTCACTTTTTAAGATAAATTTTTGATGAATTATCTTTTATCTCTTAACTACCTAAAAAGGTAACTCAATATTATTTCACCCGTAAGTATTTTGTAATGAGCAATATCTAATGATACTTTAAAACTATTAAATATACTCATTAGTAATATTGCATGCCCAAAATTTAATTTTAAAATATCAATATATATTTAAATTTATTTTATATGTGAATCTCAATATACATTAATTCAATCACAATCATACAATTACATTATGGATAGCTATTCAATCACAATCATACAATTACATTATGGATAGCTTTAGTGATTATCCATATAGATATATTGTCTCTCCCTCAATTATTTCGTAGTGGAGTTTAGGTCATGATCGAGAAAAGGAAACATAGGCACTAATATTGATTACTAATGGGTTGCTTTGTGTTGTGGAATATTTCTAATGGACAACATGGATGATACAATGGGGTCAAATCAATTCCAAAATGGCCCGTCAAAAGGTCGAAATTGTAAAATTTTCTTTTGAATAGTTCAATTATCAAGTTACTTGGGTGATAATTAAAAATTTTAAAATAATTTAAAAAATTATCGAAGGTCTTAATTTTTAAAAAACTTAATTAGATATAAAAGTTTATTTTGATATTTTGAGACCTTAAAAAACCATAGACCGCTACTGGATTCAAATAAAGAAATGTCATAAAAATAATCTAAGCTGGGTTGGTTATTATACTTAGATTTAGAAATTAAAGGTTTAAAGTAAGGTTGGATATCTTTAAAAAAAAAAAAAAAAAAAAAAAAAAAACATAATATAAATTAGAGTATAACTGTAAATTTTTTTTTTTTTTTTTTTTTTTAAAAAAAGTAATATTTTAAGATCTTTGTTCAACTAACATCCTTAGTGTGAAGATTTTTTGAAATAATTAATTGGGCAAAAAGTACCTTTTTTTTTTTTTTTTTTTGGTTACAAGAAAATCCTCCACTCTTCTGCAGGTTCAAGGCAGCCCCTCCCAGAGATCATCAAGGTATCTTGTTGTTTGTTCCAAGTAAGAAACTATAACCTGAGAATTTGTCTCGACCCCCAAGACAAGTTCTACTTAAGTCAAGACTCAGGCAGCGGGGGAATATCGAACCCACACCAAGTGCTATGGTAACAACAATTTGAGGCTTAACCTCCTAACCAACTGCGTTACACTCAAGAGATTGGCCCAAAGAATTCAAACTTGAAATCTAGAGTCTTAACCCCAAGCCTTACCAAGTGCGGCAAAAAGCAATTAACCCTCATGTGATTTTGGGTTGGTGCACATGATCCCGTGACATTTTAAAATATAGAGACACCTTTCCTATAGTTTTAGACTTATTTGCAATCGCCACACCGTTAACATCTATGTCAAAAAAATTAATTTACCCTTGCTGGTACAGACGCGCTCACCTCCACACACACGTCACGTAAATGCACTTTCCTTCTCTACTCTCTATTTCTCTCTCTACACAGCATATATCACATCACATCACTCAACTCACTTTTTTAATTAAAAAATTAAACAAATTTTATTCATTTTTATTTTAATAAAATACATATAATTTTTAATATATATATTCAATTTTTATAAAATTAATATTATTCAAAACAATATCAACAAAATCTTTAAAATAAGACTAATATTTAACATATTTAATAAAAATTTAAATTAATAATTCAAAAAATATATAAAAGAACTTACATAATTAAAATAATTTGTATGATCTGAAATTAATGTAAATAAAAATTATTTAGAATTATTTTTTAACAGAAAATATTATTTGTATTTACTAAAAAAATGTAAAGACTAATAAAAAAATATTAACTCAAATTGTGCAAAATTAATAATAATAATAATAACAACAACAACAACATTCAAACTACACAAATGTTAATTTAAATTGTATAAATAAAAAATAATAATAAACCATACAGATAATAAAAATTAAACCATACAAATATTATTTTGTGTTTTTATTAACTCAAATCATACAATAAAAATAATACAAATTAATACCCAAAAAAATTCACTAAAAATAATCAAAAAAATATTCACATATATTTAAGCATTAAAAATAGTTTCAAAAAATTATGTCATGAGAAATCCAATTCATCGTATTTGATTGAATTTTGTCTTCTATTTTTCTAAAAAATAAATAAAACTAATTTGTTAAAGAAAAGATCAATTTATTATGATTCTATAAACAAATTGTATAATAAAGTTTAATAATATAATCAAGTGTTTCCCCTCAGATATTGTTTGTAGGAGACATTTCAATATTCCTAACAAATTGTATAATAAAGTTTTAAAAAAAATAAATAAAAAAATAAAAAAGACAGTATAAAGTGGAAAACAAATTAAACAAATACATATCAAGTGTTTCCTGCTCCAATGTTGCTTGCAGAAAACATGTCAATATTCCTAACAAATAATATAATAAAGTTTAAAGAAAATTAAACAATAAAATTAAAAAATAAAAAAGACACTATAGAGTGGAAGAAATTTTTTTTTAAAAAAAAATAGAATATTTGATTAAATATAATAAATAAATAATAGTTAAAAAATTAAAATAATAATAAACAAATTAAAATAAAAAGAAGAGGGAGTACTAATTGTTCCATGATGGTTTCACTTTTCCCTCTAATTTGGGTGGAGTACAACATCCATTTCAAATCATATGAAGGGTAAGGTCATTTTGGTCTTTGACCAAACCATTTTTGAGAGAAAAATTATCAAACAGAGTAATACTTGCACATGGGGCGCATGCAGCCCATTTTCCGTTTATTACGATGAAAAAAGTGACAGTTGCAGATAAGTCAAAAATCATAAGGAAAATGTTTGGTAGCTCAAATTTTTGTGGCTCAAATGGCTCAAATCTGTCAAAACGACGTCGTTTTACACTCAAAATCTGTCAAAACGATGTCGTTTTGACAGATTTGAGCCATTTGAGCCACAAAATTTTGAGCTACCTACCATTGTCGAAATCATAAGGGAGGAGTCTGTGCATATTTCTAAACGTTAATGGAATCATATGCAACATCCCAAAACCTTAAGAAATTAAGTGCTTATTTTATATTGTTATTTTAAATTTATGTGTAGTACATTCAAATTTAATATTAAAAGCTTTATCTAAACTATTAAATATAAGGGTAAATTATATCAGCATCTTCTGAGTTTACTCTTAATATGAATTTCCCCTTTACATTCTAGAAATTACATCCCCTTTCTTGAGGTTTAAAATTACATTACAAAATGCCCCATCTGTTAGTTGACCGTTAAGTCAACTGCAAAATTTGGGTGATATCATCAATTATTTTTTGAAAATACCAGTCAGTGTGTTTGGTTTGAGTTTTCTGAATTAAATTTTTTAAAAATTGAGTTTTTTGTTTTTTTTTTTTTTTTTTGTTTTTAGTAAATATTTTTAAAATTTTAAGCATTTTGTTTTATTTTTTTAGATGCACTTTACTTAGATGTATCTAAAAAGTAAAAAATTTGTGAAAAAATATTTTCAAAAATAAACAAACACATAAAAATATGAAAAATATACTAAATTTTCATATTTTTTTGTATTTTTGATATTTATTGAATTTTTAAAAGATTTTTTCACAAAAATTATATTTTTTATGTATATCTATGTTAAGTGTGTCTAAAAATTTTTTAAAAAAATTGCTTAAAAAATTTTAAAAAATTCAATAAAAATAAAAAAAATATGAAAAATAAGAAAATAAAATTTTTTAAAAACTGTTTTTAAAAAAACGAGACCAAACAAGCAGCCTTTATCAGATTTCTCTCATCTTACTGTTTATTTTTTCTCGCCTCGTACACAAGCAACTACCCACGGTACCATTACCCACTACCACAAATGATAAAAGACGTAAATACACAATTACTATAATGACTTTTCTTAAGTGTGCAACTTACACCTTACACTTACGCCTTTCTGTTTGCTGTCCTGTTTTATGGTTACACCTTCCATTTACACCTTTTGTATTTGTTGCATATGGTGTGCAACCTTAAGGGGTTGCACACCATAACAGCACCCTTGCTATAAATACATACATATATATATATATATATAGGGTCATTTTAATATATACACCATATCAAAATTATGATATTTGTAGTGTTAATTCTTACAAATATAATAAGTAAATTGTTTGATGATATAAATGTTGGGGAAAACTACTCACATTACATAATTTCACATTGTATATCGCAAAATTATGAGATGAACAAGACAAACCTTCAATCTCAAGAAAAATAACATGCTGAATAAAATACAGATAAAATATAAAATGGTTAAAGGAAGCAAACCGAAGCCTGTGTGATACCACAGTCTCCTTAAAATAGATTCGCTGCCTCACCGTTGGGTGCTGGAGGTACGCCGGCGTCTACTTCCCAGGATACGACAGTTTTCACCAGTTATAACAGAAGCACCTTTTGATTAGCTTAGCGAACAGACAACGGCAGCACTCTCTCTCAGGAAAATTATAGGAGAAGTAAACTGACGGTGTATGGATGTCAAGGAAAAATTCTATATCTCTTTTCAAGGAATAGGGCCTCCTTTGATACACCATGGGGGAGAAGGGAGGAGCCTCTAGCCATCAAGGCTGGCAGCTAATGCTAGCAAAACTGGCCAATCAA